GTCAATGTGCATGTATAAATGCATGAAATGCATATGAAAATACGTTAATAAAATCTCTCGGTACGTCATAAGACCATTATGCCTCTTATTAATATCATGAAGTAAACTTTACCAACTTATTACCCTAAATGTTCATGTTTAGTTAATTACTCGACATAAACAAATTTTGTTTACAAAATATATACATTTCACCTTAAAAGACTCTCAATTCATTAATTGTATCTTCAATCAAGGGATTTAGTTACACCATTTTCCTTTTTTATCTCCTCTCTCCCATCTTCTCTCCAGATGCAATTGAATGTGCACCAAACTGTTTAATACTGACACTTTGATTTATGCTTCGGAAACTTGAACATCCCTCATTGTTTTGTATTGCTACGAGAGAGTTCACCATAAGAAGCAACACTTTCTTTTTTTTTAAATAAGCAAAAGGGAATTCAAAGAAAAGAAAAATCATGTCACAATCCAACAATTGGCCCAACTGACAGAAAATCAGTTAACCATAAAATAGAAAAAAAATAGTCGGCATTGATATTAATCTATGCTTCCCTTGACACATCCATTGAATATCAGTAAAGCAATGCTCGCAACGCCTCGGAAAGCAATTCTCTAATCACTTTTTGCACAGAAAATTCATAAAGGAGACTCCAGTTAATAAATATTTTTTTCCGCCTTAATATACGGTAATCTTCCTATACGAAAATCAATAATTACCATCTTCTCAATGTCTAACATCTGTAATAGGAATAAAATATCGAATCAAATTATAATACCAATCACCAAATATCCACCAGTCTTAATTTCACACTTACATTTAGTCTGTTCTTCTATAAATAAACAAGCCAAAAATCTGTACCAATACATCCTTTTAAAGTTCACAAAAGAAGTTTCAATTTTATAAGAAAATAGATGAAAATGGCTTCAGATTCAGCCACTTCTCTGTTCTTGACCCTATTCCTTATTACACAAATATAATTTTTATACAAATGTTATACAATATGTGTTTTGTATACTTTGTATCTCATTTATACATTATAAAAGTAAATTTCATACAACTAATTATATATTATACAACGTATCTACAACTTATCTATATTATTTATACCCAGTTATATACAACTACAATATCTTACCACTTAGATACAATTTATACAAATTTTATACAATATGTCTTTTGTATATTTTGTACCTGATTTATACATAGTAAAAACAAATTTCATACAACTAATTATATATTATACAACTTATCTACANGAAAACCCAAATTCGAATTCAAAACTTCTTTGCTGCTCTCTTTTTCTTTGCTCTACATTACTGGAATTAGGGATTGAGAGAAATAGAGAGAGACAGAGAGAGCGCATGAGGGGGAGAGAATAAGGACGGGAAATAATTGATTCCTAATATAAAAAGAGACTCATTTAATTCCTAAAGTGTATATAATTGGTCAATTTGTATATATGAGGTAATTAAATTGAAACTTGAGTAGGGAGAGTAATAAAGTTTCCAATAGTGTATAGGTATGTAACATCCCTTTATTTAAATACTTTCTCTAAAATATTGCTAGAAACACTATTAGAAACAAATATAAGAAAAAACAAGTGACAGATGGTCAATTAAATAAAGTAATATTGCGGACACATTTGTCATTTTCCAAATCTTGTCAAGTTTGGGAAATTTTTTAAAACATTGTGTTTGTGGTTATTTCAACCGAAATCTCCTATTTGCTTGCTCCTTTCACACTTGCATCTCCTCAACAATGACCATAATGTAATAGCACAACCTTATGTATTGATGCTAGCTAATATATGTATCTGTTTTGGAACCAAAAAAAGTAGTAATAAGATGCAACACTGTAACAGCCACAATTAGTTGACATTTGCCACTAGATAAGAAGACAAGATTTGTTGGCATAGCCAATTTCATCCACAGCCTACTCACTCGGGTTCAAGCAATGTGGTGGCTAGTATGTACATATTACATATACAATCAACAGTAGATGTGATATAATCACACAATAGTCTATATGGCAATAACATCTCTTAGACCAAATCTCAATATAAGCAAATACACACACCATGATGATCGCGTCTCCTTCGCGTTTATAAGTTCACACTTTAAGCATAACCTTGGGATAGGGTTCTCTTCTGTTGAAAACATCATTTAGAACTGTTTTTGAGATTAAAGAAGCTTTCAGCAAATTCAAGGCCTGCAGAAGTTAATACCATCAACGACGATTCGATAAAATTATTAAATAAACCACGCATGTTAGGTCCATTGTACATTTGAATCTTTTTGGCAGTCTCCATAATGTATAAATGAATTTATGGTTTTCAACCTGCGTTCTTCTGCTTCTGCTCAAGTTATCATTACTTTCTACGTTATAGTCAGTTCAATTCTATCATTTGCTTGCAACTTTTATGATGTGCAGAAGCCTCTTAACTCTCTGCCGACTGATTTAACAAGTTTAGAAGATGCCAATTTTCCATAGAGGCCCTTCTTTTCTAGCTTCTCTTTCTTTCTTCTGTTTTCCAATTTGGGGGTTGCATTGGTGGATGAAGGGTGGCTTCCAAGGGTACCCCGCTTCAGATTCATTCTTATTCAGAGGACTATGAGAATCAAGCTTTTCTTTTCCCCTCCAGTAAGTGCATAGAGGGGAGTGGGCATTCAGCTATTGAGAGGACTCCTATTGTCTTTCTTTTGTTATAGTGGAGTCTCTGACCCCATTTTGTTGCACTACTGGAGATGACCCCCGGCCAACTACTTTCTCAAGCGAAAATGGAAACAAGCCTACTAAGTGATTCCATTTATCACTTACGTTATTTCTAAAGTCAGAAATAAATTTTTAGAATTTAAGCACGAAATGATTGTTAATCTCAAAATGTATTATGTTCACCCACCATAATAAGAGCAAACCCAAAAAGAATTCCAAATGTCTAGCAACAGATAATGAAAGGGATCAAGTAGAAGGCATACCTCATACTCTCCAATGAATACAGTGCGCTCCTCCAAGTCACTGGTTGACACCTTCATTTGATTAAGAAGAGTTATGATTGAGGTAGAGGAAAACTGAGTCACTAGAAGATTATCCAATATCATAAATGTTGCAGGTCCTTTCAAGTATCCTTCACCCTTTATAGTTTCTCCTGATGGAGATTTCGGGTCCAAAATGATCGCCAAACGTCTAGCTTCTTCCTCAGACTCTATTGATTCCAAAGTGACAGCTAAATTGCTTGCTTTTTCCTCATATTCTATCGATGATTCCTCGATTTTTTTAGCGTTCCTTACTAATTCTAAACCTCCATAGCGATCATATCTGTATTTTGGGCATTCCTCTTCCACCCGAAGAATATGACTGTCAAAACCAGAGTATGGGAACAATTTCGGAGAGAGTAGCCTAGTTTTGCACTCTTCTGATTTCATATAGTTTTCTGAACTCAAATTTTCAGCACCCTTGTACAAATTATCGATGCACCCAAGTCTTGAGTTGCCACCTAGAAGCTTTACCACAGCCCCTAAAGGGAAGGCAAGGAAACTGAAAAGGAAGTCTACAAGCTTGACCCCAGCTTCCGCATACAGAACTTTTTGCTTACTTTTGCTTACTATAAGCTTCAGGCTCACACTATTTGAGTTTTGAGACACGGCCTTCTTGTCTAACTTGGCAGTTAGGGAATCTTCAAACTTTGATGTATCTTTCACCCAATTCCCCTGGCTATTCAATACCATATTTGTCAAAGGTGTCTTGGAGAGCAATGAAACTTTCAGCAGTTGAAGCACCTACATTAGGTTATGCATCAAGTGATGAGGTAGGGAAGTTAACTAAACCAGAATAAAACAAGAAACAATGTGAATTCAAACAAAAAGAAGAGGCAAGTAAAAACGCCAAAGTTTTATTGTGGTAATGGATGATACAAATGGATACCTCAGATAACCAAGAAATTAGCAAATGAAAGCGTCTTAATTATAACCTTTCAATCTTGCCTATGTTCTTCTAATTGTTTTTTTAAGGGAAAAGGGTCCAAATATTGTTTACATTTAACCTCCGTTATACTTTCAGGACATATATACCCTCACCGTTAGTAAAGTATAAATCTACCCTAATATTTAAGGGAGGTCCACATGGCCTCACATTTCAATTAGGTGGACGCCATGTGAAATGACACCTCACTACCCTAACCCCATTTTACCGCCTCCCCCAATACTTTCTCTTCCCCTTCAATTTCTTATGCCGCCACCACTTGTCCCACTCAATTTAATCAACATAGGCCCTCTTTGTTTTCCAGGTTACTGCAACTTCATTACTTGGAAGCAATGATAAAATATACACTGTAACCTTACTTCTTTAATGGATCTATGATAAGGGTGGCAAGTGTGCCGGTCCGGGCCCAAGCCAGTGGGCTAAGTGTGCCGGGACCGGTAGGACCGCTAGAAGTGGGCTTGGGCCGGTTCTTGCCTAGGAACCGTTAGAACCGGGACCGGACCGGGACCTTGGCAGGCCCAACGGTAATTTTAAAATTTAGCTATTTCAAAAAGGAGCTGTTGGACTTTAAAACATAGTCGTTGGCTATTTAGAAAATAGCCATTTAGCCCCCCCAACTTTGTTTTAACCCTAAACTTTTTATAATTACACTTTTCCCCTATTTTCAACTATAGATACCCATCATTCTTTAATTTTTCTTACAAAATCAATATCATTCTATCACAATATCTCTCTAATTTTCTTCTATACTTGCTACTATTGCTTACTTTATTCCAAAAAACAGTAAAAAAAATATTGAGGTTGTTACAATTTGTGAAAAAATTGTGAAGTTGGTGAATTGAAGTCTTCAACGATAATCAATTTTCAACAAGTTGTTCGTCAATTTGGTAAACTCGTTCCAACTCTTAAGTCTTAATATTATAGTTTTGTTTGTTTTATTTATTTACTATCACTTGATTATTAAGATGTCTTCCTTAAGAAATATTTTTAGTAAAAATAAGAATAAGGGAAAATCCAAGACTGACGAATCTAGTGGTACTGTTGTTCCTCCTCCCCTGCCCCCGGCTCCAGAACCAAACCTCATATCTGTCATACACCTGCTATTCTTGATACCGATAATAGTTTATTACAATTTACCGAGAGTCAATTTTTTCATAATATTGCATCCGGTGAACATTTAGACCATGAATTAATGAATGCTCTTTATTCTAATAATTATAATACTATTGATGAAAATGATGATGAGGAAATTGATCTTGATGAAACTCAACCGGATGATGATACACCCACTAGTCCAGCTCCTGATGTTAACCCAACTAGTGATACCGCTGCTAATCCAATTGAAGACCCATCTGATACTCCTGTTACTGCCCCTACTTTTTCTAGACAACCTACCAAACGACAGGAAACATCTCCTGTTTGGCCATTTTTTACTCAACTAGTTCCACAAAATAAGGCTAAATGTAAAACTTGTGGTATGGAGTTAGTTTTTAAATATTTTGGATTGCGGGGGAAATTTGACTAGACACATAAAAAAACACCCTAAAGATAAAGTCGGATATGAATGTCTGAAAGCTTTGGCCGAGGGGAAAAGTGTATCTAGTCCTAGTCAGGCTGACCGTAAAGAGCGATATTTATAAATATAAGCATGAATATGAACAATATTTGCACTATTATTTACCCATATAAATTATCGTGTGGCTATTACAACCGATATTGGTAGAAGTGGCAACGACTGTGATTACCTTACTGTTACCCGTCATTGGATTGATGAAGATTGGATAATACAAAAGGGCATAATTGCTTGTAGAATAATTGCTTCACGTCACACTGGGTAGTTTATTGCTAGCACAGTTACGGATATTTGCAGATATTTTTGCATTAGTGATAAAATAATGTCGTTTTAATAGATAATGCTACTAATAACACAAATGTTATAGACTTGCTTACCACTACGCTTAATCCTGCATTTAGTAACATTTTTCATGTTAGATGTATTTGTCATATTTACCATTAATTGTGGGTGATGGTATGAGAATTTTAAATATTCAAATTGAAAAGGTTAAAATGGCTCTTAACTGGCCTTTTCATTTAAACCGTAGAAGTCGACTTAGAGAATATTTTAAAAGATGTGATGAATGTGGCCTAAGAAAAAGAAAGGTTCCTAAACCTTGCCCAACTAGACGTTGCATATGAATATAGATATGAAAGTTTGGTTGTTGCATATGAATATAAAAACCCCGTAAACTCAACACTTAATGCACATGTAAGTGATGATGACGAGCACCTTACGAATGGGGATTGGGCTAATGTTAAAATGCTTGTTGATTTTTTAGAAAAAATTCATATTGCTACAAATGAATTTTCTGGGCAATATTATCCTACTATTTCTAACTGTTTAGTTTATTGCAAAACTTGCAAATTTGTTTGCTCATTTTTCAGATGGTGGGAAAATTTATAAACTTGCTATTGATTCTATGAGAAAAAAGTTTAAAAAATATTTTTCCCTATTCCCCCTATTTATGGTGTTGCTGCTTTATTAAATCCTTGTATGAAATTAGGAGGTCCTCAATTTTGGTATGAAACTGTTTATAATGGTTTAGCACTTGAAAATGATGAGTTGCCTAAACTTCCGGAAGCAATAACCTCAATAAAAATAAATGCTCAAACTATTTATAATGCTTATCAAGTTGCATTAAATCATGCTAGACCAAATGTTCCAACTCCTTCTTCTTCTGATTCTCAATCTTCTAACAGAACTGCGGGAGTAAGATGACTTAGTGCTTGGGCAGGGTTTAGGGGTTCTTTTGGTTCTAGTAGTAATGATTTTTCACAACTAAATGAGCTTGAAGTTTATTTGTCGCAGCAACTTGACGAAGTGAATCCTGACGGCTCCTTTAATATTTTGCAATGGTGGAAGGACAAAGAAAAATACTTTCTGGTTCTTTCAAGGATGGCCCGAGACATTTTAACTATTCAAGCTTCAACAGTGGCATCGGAGAGCGCTTTCAGTCAAGCAAGACTTCAAATAGGTGATTATAGAGCGTCTATGAGGGAGAGCTTGGAAAAATCAGTACTTTTCAGAGATTGGATCCGTTCAGAAAGAAGAAATTTTGGACTTGCTGAATCACAACCAGAGGAAGACGAATCATACGAAGAAATGCTGGCTGAACTTGCTAAGGATGCTGCTTCGCCCGACAATGGAAGCGGCGATGACCAAGCTACTTTTCCGCCACCACCAACGGAAATTCCTCCGAACGTTGAAGGATTATGAAGTTTTTAAGAGATAGCATGTAACTTGTATGACAAAAATTAGTATGTATTATGTAACTTGTATTTTAGCACATCTTGATTAGTTTCTTTTTCTTCTCAATGGTGGTATTAGCACCTTGTTGTGCTTATCCCATACGGGGAGGAAGACTAAGAAAAATATTGTCATGTTTTTTAATGTTATAATAAAATTACAAGGCATTGCTTTGAATATCTTTTTATAATATTTTTGTCTTTAAATTTGAATTAAAAAATTAGGTCACAATTCTATAATAAATTTACAAGGCATTGCCTTAGATATTTTTTTAACATCTTTTTGTCTCTAATTTCTATTTAATTTTTTTTTTAAATCACTATTTAGCCGTTGGTCTCACTTAGCCCGCGGGCCCGGCCCGTTTAGCATGGGACCATGAGTTCGTGGGCCCGGTCCTAGGCTGGCTCCTACAAAAAAAGCGTTTAGCCCGGGATTGCTAAGCCCTTTTATTTAAGGACCGGGACCGTGGCCCACGAGACCGGCCCACTTGCCACCCCTAATCTATAATTGTTGAAGTTGTGACAAAAAAGAAGTGCCCAATCATATTTATGTGCCTAAAACAAAAAACTTGGGTGATGCAGAAATTTGTATTTGTCATTCTGTTTATACCCTGCATTGACAGACATTTTTTAACCATAAGGAAGATAATGGAAATAATAGGGGTTTCTTTTCTCACAATTCTTTCTTTGTTTTGGGTGATTTCCTTACTATTTCAATCCCTCACACAACAGCAGAAGAAATACACACTAAAAAACTAAGAAAAATAATTGACTGATCTTTGTCACATGTTATCTATAACAGATTAGTATAAGTGGGCAACCAAACCATGATAACCCAAAGAAAGCTTTATTTCCTTTATTTTTTTTTCGGCTTAGGGACAAAAGAATCCCTTATCAATAATGTAAGTTAGCTCCAAAAAATTACGGCGAAGAAGTGTCAATGGTATTGGTATACTGCAGCATAAGTATAAGTTATCTCCAAGCAATTACTGCGAAGAAGTGTCAATGGTATTTGTATACTGCAGCATACGTATAAGTTAGCTCCAAGCAATTTAAAGTAAGGGGACAAGTGGTGGCGGTGTAAGAAATGGAAGGGGAAGAAATAGTAACACAGAAGGGGTAAAATGGGGTTAGGGTGCTGAGGTGGCATGCCACGTGGCGTCCACCTCATCGAAATGTCAGGCCATGTGGACCTCCATTAAAAATATGGGTACATTTGAATACTTTGCTAACGGTATGGGTATATATATCTCAAAAGTATGACAAAGGTTAAATGTAAACATTATCTGAAATTAGAGGGATAAATCTGGCCCTTTCCGCTTTCTTTAATGAGAAACTCTTAGTGATCAATATTATATATATTAATAGAGCAAAATGGTGCATTCAATGAGTACATGCATCACAAATCCTAACAGATCCCTACTCCAAGAGTTGGGGGAACAAGAAGAAACGCAATAGTTCTTCAATAGTTCATCAACTATTCAAGAACTGTGTGTTAGTTTCTCTCTAAACCTTAATTCTAAACAAGGGCTGAAGAAAAACCTATAGCAGCAGATGGTAAAATTTAACGTTTCAATAAAGTGATCTAAATTGTGCTTGCTTAAAATGAAAACCATAAGAAGAAAGCACGGACAATGTGTTAAAGGAAAGAGTTAAATGCAAACTAAGTTGACATTCCAATTTAAGCACTTCTGCCATGCAATTTTATTCTTCCTAGGCATTAATGACATGCTCAAATTGAGCAGTAATATGTCTTATATGAACAATAAGACAAAGTTCAGAGCATTTAGCCATTTAAGCCAACCAATTGGAGGAAAATATTTTTCCTCCTCCAATAAGTTCATCAGAAAAATATTTTCCAAAACATTTAAGCCAACTAAACATGGGAAAATTGAAAAACAGTTTCAGGAAATTGTTTTTGTTCATACCAAACACACCCAAATTAAAAGAGTTTAGCCATCGCTCCTCCCGTCGGTGCAACTCTTCTAGGCTGGACCTTACTGATTGTCTAACCTGCGACCATTCTAATACTTAAATTTTTATGTTTCTCTCAAGGCTGACTAATAGTACAGCCTGACCTTTCTAACCAAATGCGATGATAAACCAGATAATAGTTGGAAGGAGAATCAGTGATTTCAGAACTGCTCTTATGAAATTATCTTGTAGTACTAGTTAAGGACTTTAAAAATAACAACGGCATGCATAGTCCAACATATTAGGTAAAGACATTACCTCTTTAGTGCCAACTTCTACGGTCTTTGCCTCGATTTCGTTCTTGTCACTGACACCAAGCTTTTCAAACAAAGCAGTTAAGCTAGCAGTTGAGGCTGGCATTATCTGTAAATCATCAGTGATCATAAAGCTCGCTGCACCACTCTTCAGAAAAACTCCATCCCCACCTTCTCCCCCAGAACTTGTATCCTCTCCCTTCATGTTAACACTTCTTGGTGATCTCATTGGAGAACCACAACGGCAATGTGCATTCTCAAAGAGACTATAAAAGTCATCACAAGAGTATGAAGAACATGCAAACAACTTCCCTGCAATCTCTGAATGATCAACATTGAGCTTCAACTTTTCACATTGAACTTCTGATGCGTTTCGGGGCATGATCAACATGGATTTGCAATAGCTTGTACGCAAGAACCTAGGCTCAAGAGAATAAACACTGGCGTAGATGCGGCTAATGGACCCCAGTTGAACCATATCTTTATCAAGAAGTCTTAGGACTGCGCCTAAAGGGACTGTTAAGAATGAAAATAGTGTTTCAATGAACTCATGGTCCGACTCTGCAAAGATTACTCGGTTTCTAGTCTTGTCAATCATAACCTTAAGTTTGATAACCTGAAATTGAAGAATCCAAATAGTCATAACTTTAAGCATGCTTGCAGTAATTGCTATTTGCCACTTTCTCCAACCATTTTGTTCGGCATTATTTGACTAGACATGGAAGTCAGGAGTATAATTTTAACATATAAGTTAAATACACATAGAATATTTTTTTTGTTTTTTTTTTGATAAGTTAATGCATTTCATAGAAGGCATCAAGAAGATGCAAATTCAGAAATTACAGAGCAAAGGAATAGCGAAAAAAGAAGAAGACAATGTTAGCTCTATTACAAAAGGCCTAATCTAAAGTTAAGGAGCTAACAAAGTCCAAAAAAGATTCAGGTGAATTGACAGGGGAGAGATTACTCCAACTACAAAGACTTGTTAAACATCTAGCCTTAAGAACGTAATTTGGAGTAGTAATGCCTTCAAAGCATCTAGAGTTTCTTTCTGTCCAGACACACCAGAAAATGCAAGCAGGGATCATCTTCCAAACTTTCCTGATGGATTTCCCGACCTTCCATGAGCTCCAGCTAACCATGGCATCTTTAACACTCTCAGGCATAACCCATTTAAGACCAAAAGTTGAGATGAACATGTTCCATACATCTGCAACAACTGTACAGTGTAGAAAAAGATGTCTATTGGTCTCTAAGGCATGTTGACACATGTAGCATCTGTTGACTATGGGGATGCCTCTTCTGCTAAGATTGTCTTGAGTGAGCGATGCTTCATGGAGGGCTATCCAACTAAAGCAAATCACCTTTGGAGGTAGCTTAGTTTTCCAAATTAATTTCCATGGCCAATCGATTAACAATTCATTTTGAGTACATTGCATGTAGTAGCCTGCCTTCACAGAGTACTTGCCATTGGCTTTATTCCCCCAAATGAGTCTGTCCGATGCCTGTTCATTAATTAAGACTGTCCCTAGTCTTTCCAGTAGGTTGAGAAGATCCTGCATCTCCCAATCTTGTATGTTCCTCCTGAACAAAGGATTCCAGGAATAATCAGCTCTGTTTTGTGAAATGGTTGACTGTTTACTTGTGGATATTGAATAGAGGTTCGGAAAATCAGCTTGCAATGTTGAGTCCCCCAGCCATTTATCTTCCCAGAACCTTATTTTTGCTCCATTGCCTACCTTAAACTTGCATTGGTGATAAAACTCCACCCCTAGCTTGCTGATATACTTCCAAGGTCCTACTCCATATGGTGATCAAGCAACCTTGGTACTCCAATGATTTTTATTGCCATGTTTTGCAGTTACCACCTCCTTCCAAAGGGCGTGATCCTCTTGTGAATATCTTCACAGCCATTTCATAAGCATGCTCTTATTATGGACAATGAGATCTCTAATTCCCAGGCCACCTTGTGACTTTGGTAGAGTTACTTTTTTCCAATTAACCAAGTGGAATTTATGAGTTTTGCTGCCTCCTTCCCAAAGAAAATTCCTCCTGTATTTGTCTATCTGCTTCAGCACCTTTCCGGGGATGGGAAATAAAGACATCAGATAGGTGGGAAGGCTATCCAATACACTGTTGATGAGTGTGAGTCTCCCTCCCATAGAAAGGTATTGCATTTGCCAGTTAGCTAGTCTTCTTTCAATTTTTTCAGTGACTCCACTCCATATATCATATGACTTGAACTTTGCTCCCAGCGGAAGCCCCAGATACATAGTTGGTAGTGGGCCAGTACTACAGCAAAGAATGTCAGCCAGGCCCTCCAGATTAAAAACATCATTGACAGGATAAATGACACTCTTCATCATATTAATGTGTAAACCTGAAAGAGCTTCAAAAATAAGCAAGGTCAGATTTAAATGCAGCACTTGAGATTCTTCAGCCCCACAAAAAATTAGGGTGTCACCTGCGTATAGCAGATGTGAGACAGTCACCCTATTGGCCTATTCCCAGACCTGTTACCAACTTCAAAGCCTTTGAACCATTGTAAATTCTTGGCTTTATTTAGCATGTTACTGAGACCTTCCATGGCAATGATGAAGAGAAAAGGTGATAGAGGATCCCCTTGCCTAAGACCCTTTTGAGGAGAGAAGAAGCCGGTTGGGCTTGAATTAACCAAGAGGGAGTACTTCACGGTGGTAGTGCAGAACTTAATCCATTTGTTTCCAAAACCCATTTTCCTCAGCATCATAAAGAGAAAATTCCAGTTTAGCTGGTCAAAGGCTTTCTCTATATCCAGTTTGCATAAGAGACCAGCTTCCCTTGATTTAAGTTTCCAATCCAGAATCTCATTAGCAACTAGAGATGCATCTGTAATCTGCCTTCCTTTAATGAAAGCATTTTGCTGCCCAGAAATAAGTTTCCAAATGACTTTCTTCAGTCTTCCAGCAAGCAGCTTTGCAACGATTTTATACACACTTCCTATTAGACTTATTGGTCTAAAATCTCTGAGTTCCATAGCCCCTTTCTTCTTTGGAATCAGAGCGATGAAGGATGCATTGCAATATCTCACCATCTGGCCATTATGATGGAAGTGATTCACGTTGCCAATAATGTCTGATTTGATGATCTCCCATGCACTTTGGAAGAAAGCCATTGTAAATCCATCTGGGCCAGGGGCCTTATCTGGGGCTCATGCTTTGATGGTTGCTAGAATTTCCTCTTCTGTGAAATCTTTTTCCAGCTCAATTCTCTCATCTTCTGTGATACTTGCTAGACCCTCAAAATTAGCAGTAGGCCTCCAAGGTTCATTCTCAGAATAGAGTGTTTGATAGAATCCCACAATTTCCTCCCTGATCTGATCCTTCTCCTCGATCAAGTCATTACCAACTTTGAGTTTGCCAATGTTGTTTTTTCCTCTGTGGGAGTTAGCTATCTTCTGAAAGTATTTGGTGTTCCTGTCCCCTTCTTTAAGCCAATGGCACCTGAATTTTTGTCTCCATGAAATCTCTTCTGCCTGAGCTAATTTTTGGATGTCAGACTTTAGTGTTACCATTCTGGAAAGTTCTGCTGTAGTGAGTGCCCTGATTTCTGCAGCCTGTTCCAATGCTAAAAGATCATTCAAATCATTGGCTCTTTGTACTTCCACCTTGCCAAAAACTTCTCTGTTCCAGGCAGAGATGTCTTTCTTGAGCAGCTTTAATTTTTGAGTCAGTACGAAGTCAGGATTGCCACTGACTGCATAGCTTTGCCACCACCCCCTTACTCTGTCAAGAAATCCCTCGATCTGTAACTACATGTTCTCAAATTTGAAGTATGAGGGGTTAACCTCCCAGTCTTCACTTTCCAGCATTATAGGCTTATGATCTGAAATAACATTAGGAAGCACCATCTGAGTTACCTTCCTGAAGGTGTCACTCCAGTCATTTGCTATGAGGAACCTATCAATTCTGGAAGCCTGGTGTATGTTTTCACCCCTGGTCCAAGTATAAGTAGCACCATGAAGGGGCAAATCAATAAGGCAAAGATCCTCAATTGTATCAGAGAAGTCTTTCATTGCCTTTGATCTTCTATTGCAATTGAGCCTTTCATGCTCGTATCTGCATACGTTAAAATCACCCTCAATCACCCAATGATCATTCCATAGCCCTCGGATTGCTGCAAGTTCATCCCAAAATACCTTTCTTTCAGGGTTTGTGTGTGGGCCATAGACCCAGTGTTGTCAAAGGCGCGCTTTAAGCGCGCTTAAGCCCTGAAGCGAGGCTCAAAACATGTTGAGCGCTTCGCCTCGCTTTGTGGGCGCTTTAGTGTGGCATCAATGCTTTAAGACATACTTTTCCTTGCCAATGAGTGTAATCCTAAAAAGACGACATTAAACAATTGATATTTCACTTTGTTATAATTTTTTTTCAATTTCTTTGTCCATATATTTGTTAGTCATGCTTATAATTATTAGTCTTAGACTACTTATACATATTTTTACTTTTTCTCCAGTTGCGCCTTTTTTCATTAAAGTCCACGCTTTATTTGCGCTTTGCGCTTAAAGCCCCAAAGGACATTAGAGCTTTTTTACGCTTTTCGCCTTTGATAACACTGCATAGACCCCAGTAAAACACCATCTGAAGTCTTCATGGGCACTTTCTAACATACTGGATATTGTATAGGATCCCTGGTGAATGTCTATACAATTCCAGTTTCTTTTATCCCATAAAATTACCGCCCCGCCCCTGCTATCAATAGCTTGTAGCTCTGCCCATCCAGCCCATCTAGATCCCATCAAATGTTGTGAAAGACAATCTGACCATTCATTGATTTTGGTCTCCTGAATACATATAATATCAGCTCTCCAACTTTGAATTAAAGGCTTCAAAGTTCCCCTCTTTTCCCTTTCATTGAGCCCCCGTACATTCCAACTCAGAATTCGTAATTTCATTCTGAATGGAGTTTGTGAATCCTGCCCCTTTCAAAACTAGGGCTCTTTTCTGAACTTTCTCCACCCTCATAATTCACAAAAAAATTTAGCTTCTCTGATACAACCAAAAAGGAATAGTAAGCAAATCTCTAAGAAACCAATGAAGAGAATGCTTTCTGAACAAGTATTTGCAGAGGGTAAATTGAGAGTTCAGACAATAGAGAAGAGAGAAAGAAGATTGATTTTATTATCATAACCCCTAACTGGTACAACCCATCTCCTATATATCCTGTATCTAATAACAAACTAACAACAGACTGACCTTCCACTTAACCCACTAACTAGTCCGTTATTAGCAATATGGTAATTGACAACTATATCCCTTACTTATTACCGCAGTGACAAAAATACCCTCTTGTATAAAATGAATATAACATTCTCTAGTTCTGCCTCCTTTGACTTTTTCTTCTTTGTTGGTTTCTCTGATAATTTTTTCTGTTGTATTTGCAATTGTCGTCTTTCCTCCATACGTAGAATAATGTCCAAAAACTCATGTTCGAATCCAGCCATGTTAACCCCGACACCATTTTGGTCCATCTTGAAGTCTCAACCACAGAAGGGTTTTGTATAATTTGAGGAGTTGGCCCTTCCTCATGCCATGGAAGAGAGAGAAAATCAGAAGGGGAAGAGAAGTCAGAGTCGGGTTTACTTTCTCAGGTTGTTGGCCTACAGGATCCTTCACACAAATTCTAGCCCAGAGAAGGTGTGTTCTATATTTGGTGTCCAGGTCTGTATCGACAAACCCACCATAGAGATCTCCTATGGTGCGAAAAGTACTCGGCACCATGCATGAAGAGGAATACCGAAGGCTTTAACCCAGTGTGGCTGATCATTCGTTAATGTTGAACCAGTCGCCGGTGACCACCATTCCAGAGTTAAATGGCGACCGTTCCAGAACCAATCACCCGCTAGGATTCTCATTGCCTCCTGTCTTGAGGGGAACTCAAAGAGAAAGAGATTATGGTCCATTGGTGTAATTGTGAGTCCAGCCATTACTTTCCATCTAGAGGTGAACCATTTGTGAATAGTCTCCAATTTTGGGCTGAGATTAAAAGCATCATTGAATCTTCCAACTAGACTTCTGGAAAGAGGATGATTGCCATCTTTCCAAGATGAAGTTGGTGCAGAGTCTGGCCATTTCTGTATAGCTTCTGAGTAGGTTTTTGTTTGAGGTACTGGTGCAGGCACAGTACACACTCGATTCCCCAAATGTCTGAAGATTCTTTCTGCGATCTCCTCCCAACCAGCTCCATATTTTGGTTCAGGGATAATAATGGCAGACTTCCGAGCACCCAGCCAAGTTTCCACTCTCAGGAATCGTCCATGAATGTTGTAGTTTTGATACACCCTGTAAAGATACATTTGTTGTTTCCTCCCCCATCTTCTGTATAAATCCCCGGACCCCTTTGATGCTTGACGCAGTACTGAGCAAATCCACCAGAGGTTGCTCTCGTCCACCTTTATTGTGCTTGTAAAACGTCTGCTTCTTTCTGTGATGGAGAACCAACTGACTCGGTCATCATTAATAGCCGCTACTTCAAAAGATTTAACACTTGTAATAAGGATTAACTTATCACCCATGTTAAAGAGAAGCTATCTAAAAGGTTGAGCACGATTCCCTAGTCAGAGCATTTTGAATTCACATATGGTGAGTGAAATCCGGCCGGAAAAAGGCACCCCGTCGACGGAAAAAAGTAAAAGCTGTCGGAATCTAGAGCTTGATGGATGGGTGGGGTCGGAATAAGGCCGCGAAGAGGCTGTCCAAAGAGAAAAGGATGAAATCTGGCCTGGAATTGGCACACGCGCTGGCGCGTGGTGTCTTTGTTGCCAGAGCTCTGCCGCGCGTGGCGGCGCGTGGAAGGTCGTACACCGGAATTGTTTTCAGGGATAGGCTCGCGTCGCTGTTGTCTCTCGTACGGTGTTTGTAAAAACTCAGGATTCCGGGTTCTAGCATCTGTATGTAGAGAGAGAGTTGATCTTAACAGAACTGTTGTAAATACGCATAGAATATCAAAAGTATCCTTGTATCACAATAAGCCATGTTAGCGTTAAGAAAATGAACCTCACTCCTAACTCAACTCCAGATATTACCTCACGAGGTAAGAATTGCATAAAATCATAAAAGAAGATTACAATTAAAAACCCTCTCCCAACCAATGTCGGACATTTAACAGCTCCCAAACGCCCAAGTCTGGATATTTGAAGCGTGGACAAGATAACACGAGGGTCATATATTAGGTAAACCAAGCTTTAAAATGGATTTTGCTGTAATCCAAAGTTTAAAAAATGGACCTTGGACATAACTCAATCTACAAATTAGCTCATGAAGTGAGATTGCCTATTTATCAATGTGAGATATTTAACACCTGAGCAAGCTTAGGCCAGACCTTTGATACCATGTTAAGAAAATGAACATTTAGCCTAAATCAGCTCAAAAGCTAGCTCATCAGGTTAGGATTGCCCAGATCATATAAAATAACAATATTCCACTTCCCTAATCAATGTATAACACTTGACAGTTAACACAGAATAAGCATGTAAAATAAATAAAAGTATCAATTTTTTTAGCGGAGACAAAAAAATAAAAGAATGTCTAGGAAATTGGAAAAAGCGAATACAAGTTAAAGAGCAAAAATTAAAGAAAGTTGTGTTTAAAATACCGGAGGATCTTCATCAGATTGATGGCGTCTGGTAGACATGTCAACTCAGAATAAGAGAATTTGGGAGCAAAACGATGGTTTTCTGGACTGAGGAGTAAAGAATGTGAGTAAACAACAATGACTCAACTTTACTTATTTGTGATGAACAGGAAAAAGAAAGTCTTTTAATTTTTTTTTAAAAGTCAAGATTCCATTAACTAAACTATTAGGGGTCGTTTGGCTGGCACTCGCGTGTTACACACTAAAAGGGCGACTGAACTCAAAAAATAGAAAGAAAAAAAACGTAAAGCTTTAATTCGATTTTGAACTCATAAGAACTCAATAATGGAAGTTCAGAATTTCTCCTCATATCAGTCCGTTCAAATGTTCTTAATCAATTCCAAGCAGCAAACAATCGACATAAGTTTTAGATTTCAGATCCCATCAACCCAGCATCCAATAACTATTATTGCACTCTGGTTACCATTAAATCTTTGAAATCAGTAGTTGATTTCGAAACTCAACCCAAACAATTATTAACCAGTGATGTCAACTACAAATTCGAGTTAGACATTGAATTTTATCTGTGGCTTGAACAACGAAACCCAACCCTCAAGCCTATTACTTTAAAATAAATATTTTTTTAAAATCAACAATTTTTTTTAACAAAAATGTGGTGTTGTTAAGATCGAAAATTGAATTGTAATTACTGTTTGGGATGTGATTTGGGTGGAGTAATGCTCAAACCACCATTGCCGGAAAAGTTTCGAAGGTTGAAGTCGGAATTACATTTGAATATCGTAACAACCCAGCCGGTCGTTTCATGAGTTATAGCCTCGTTTCCCTCCATTTCTGCTTCTCTATGTGTTGTGTGGTTGTATTTCATCGAATCGTGTTGGTTGGTTCGGATTCGGAGTGGTCTTGGAGTGAAATGAGACACTTAGTCTCCTAGTTAGAAGTTTATGTTGGAAAAGTCAACCGGATGTTGAGTTATGTGTAGAAGATTTCGAATGTGAATTTTGATGGTTCGGATAGCTCCGTTAGGTGATCTCGGAATGTAATTTGGAGTGAAATGAGACACTTAGTCTCCTAGTTAGAAGCTTAAGTTAGAAAAGTCAACCGGATGTTGAGTTATGTGTAGAAGATTTCGAATTTGAATTTTGATGGTTCGGATAGCTCTGTTATGTGATTTCGGAATGTAATTTGGAGGTCCGTGGTAAAATTAGGCTTGAATTGGCGAAATTGGGAATTTGTCGTTTTCCAATCGTTAGTGGAAATCTTGATATCGGGATCGGAATGGAATTCCGGAAATTAGAGTTGATCCGCAGTGTCATTTGTGACGTGTGTGCAAAATGTCATTCGAAGGAGGTTTGGTAGGTTTCGACATCGTTTGCGAAATTCGGAAGTTTGGAAGTTCTTAGACTTAAATCCGAAGGTGATTTGGTGATTTGGTGTTTTGATGTTGTTTTGGGTGTTCCGAAGGTTTGAATAAGTTTGAGTAGTGATATGTGACTTCTTTGTATGTCTAGTTGAGGTCCCGAGGGCCTCGAGTTGATTTCAGGAGGTTGACGGATGAAGGATAGGATTTGAGGAAGTGCTGAAGATTTCCTTCAGCTGTCATAACCGCACATACGGAGTGGGGACCACAGGTGCGAGGCTCGCAGAAGCGACCAAGCCAAGGAAAGCGAGGAGTCGCGGGTGCGGAAGAAGGAGCGCACCTGCGTGACCGCAGGTGCGGGTATTGGACCGCAGATGCGGAAAAGGGCGAATAAGTGAAAACCGTAGGTACGGTTGATTTGACCGCAGAAGCGGTCCGTAGATGTGTGAAAGTGGGCCGCAGGTGCGAGATGCCTGGGCAGAAGGTATTTAAGGAGCCCTTCGCGGATTTTTGGGTGTTCTTCACCATTTCTATCCGGATTTTAGAGATTTTTGGAGAGTTTTGAAGAGGGAATCAAGGGGATACCCATTGAGGTAAGTTATTTGAACTGAATACTTGTGATTATGGTAAATTTCAGTGGTTTAAGCATGAAATTAGTGAAAATTTAGGATGAAATTGAGGGGTTACGGCTTGGAAATAGGAGAGTTTAATTTGAGGATTTGAGGGACCATTTGACGTCGGATTTTGATGGTTTTGGTATGTATAAACTCGTGAGTGAAAGGAATTTCTAGTTTTGTGATTTTTGTCAGATTCTGAGACGTGGGCTCAGGGGCAAGGTTTGGATGAATTTTGGGATTTTGGTATAAATTGATAGTTTTTCATTTGGAATTGATCCATTGGCCTATATAAATCATATTGTATTGCTTTTGGTTAGATTCGAGGCGTTTGGAGGTCGACTCCAGCAGCAAGGGCATCGCGAAGTAGGGATTTGACCCGTTCGAGGTAAGTAATGATTGTAAATCTTGTCCTGAGGGTATGAAGCTCCGGATTTCACATCGTTTCACTATTTTTAGGTGACACACATGTTAGGTGACGAGCGTGCGGGCGTGCACCATTGGAGATTGTGACTTGGTCCGTCCCGTAGCAACTATTAAGCTGTATAGTTGACTAAAAGCTATTTGATACTTATGTGCTTTAGAAAGAATTTCTATGAACTGGGTTGAATGCCATATTTGGGCCTCGTGCCAAGCTATTTGAACCCTTAGGGGCCTTTTACTATTATTTCCTCACTGTTTTGACTTAAGATCTATACTGAGTCATACTATGCTTTATTGATTTCATAACTCAGCCTTTATTACTCCGTTTTGATGCATAAAATGATATTTTGGGCTGAGCACCTTGTTTTACTGATAGCCCGAGTGGCTTGAGAGGTTTCTGACTCAGTGAGGTCGAGGGCCTGTGTTGTGAGGATATTATGGGATCGGGTTGCGCGCCACAGTATGTTGTTAATGATTTGTGATTATGAGAGGCCGATGGCCTGATTTATTATGCCACGAAGTGGCTTGTTATAGTGCTTGAGTTGTAGGAGCCCCTCCGGAGTCTGTACACCTCCAGTGAGCACGGGTACCCTAAGTGAGTTATATAATGTTGCCCGATGGGCTGTTCTTGATTCATGTTGTGTCCGAGAGGCTGATTACGAATGATTGTGAGGTTGCTAGAGGGGCTGATTCTGAGTGATGTTATGCCCGAGGGGCGGTTTATGATACATATTTTGCCCGAGGGGCTATTTATGATTTTATCACCTTTACTCTAAATTTAGTTGAACCTCTGTTGAAAAATATCTTCAAATTATTTTTATCGAAATTGGATTTAACACGAGATGACTTATATTATGATTTGAAAGCATGATGTACTTATTGAGATTTCATGACGTGGATTTATGTGTTTCTTACTGCTCAGTCTTTATTTACCTTTATTATTTACTGAGTTGGCGTACTCACATTATTTCATGCACCTTGTGTGCAGATCCAGGGGTTGCTGGACGTGATAGCGAGCATTGATCTTTCATCCGTCGCGGATATTCGGAGTCGCAAGGTAGCTGCATAAAGATCGTTGCCTTGCTCTTCTCTCTCTTATCTTCCTTAGACTATATTAGTGCTTTCCAGACTGTAATAGTCTTAGTTGTTATCGGATACTCCTTAGTAGATGTTCGTGACTTGTGACACCCCGATGTCAGGCTTTTGTTTCTTTCTGCACTTTGTTATTTAGACTTATGCTATGAAGTTTTATTAATTAATAGCTTAAAAATATATTTATTATGAAATGTCGAATTATTTTGGGATTGTGTCGGCTGGCCTAGTTCTATGATAGGCGCCATCACGATCGGGTTATTTTTGGGCTCCTGACAAATATGAAATTGCACTAAGCTTAATCTGATGTTTGGAATGAATTGAAATTGATTTAAAGGAGCAACTAAAAGAGAACCTGATTCCTTAAAAGGAAGAAGACGATGGTAGATTTGTAATTCTAAGTATTTTCTTTTTTAAAAAAAATTAAGGACGCGTGTCGCAAACCCATTGGTGTGTGACTAGACATGTGTTTGTGAAACTGGTCAACTACAAAAGTATTTTGCCATAAACACGATTTTTAAAAAGTTTAGTGTGTAAGGTAATTTTTTGGCGTCACAAAGTGTAGTACAGATTTGGTATGTATTTTGCCTTTTAAAATTAGTTATGTTGGGATTGTTATTTCACCCTCTCATAGAAATAAAAATAATACTACACCCCCGTGATAATTAATTTCGGAATTAGTTATATCGCAATTTTATTTCAATAAAACATGAGATAAATTCATCTCAAATTTAATTTTGAGATTAATTTACTGTTTTGATGCTGCGCACTGTTGTAGGGCCTCATCAAACTTGTTGCTAATGACATTTCCATTTAACAAGCTTTTTTAAATGTTTATTTAGATATTACTTTTAAAGACTTAACTTGTATAGATCAATTGTGTAAATTTACACCATTGGTATAAATTAATCTGCTATAACAAATCAGTTTTTTTTATGAGATTAAAGATTTGTTTTGTAATATCGTTATCATCGATTTGAATACCATGTAAATATGTTTTACTATGTCTGAACATAAACAATTTAAGGGGTTGTTTGGTTTGCAGATAGGGAGAATTAATCCTTGTATAAAACTATGTAAAATTTATTACATTAGTTGGTTATTATTGTAAGAAAAGTTAATATTGGTGTTGAATCCATCATAGATTATACAATGTTCGGTTATTTTTTTAACCATATTAGATAATATCTGTATAAATATACAATATTTGTATTATTTGTGCAGGGGTAGAATGTGATATAAGAATATATGTATTAAATACTACATGGGTTAAAATAAAAAAATGACAAAAACACCCTTTCACTTTAGGTAGAAATGGCGTGGGATAGCCACTTTTTAATGTGGTATTTTGTTTTTATTCAGCATTTTGAATGTTGAGCAAAACTAGCCACTGCTCTATTAAAATTAATGCAAAAAGACGGTTTTATCCTTTCTCATGAGTGCTGTGTAAATATTAATGTCATGGTGTGCTTAACTTCATGAGTGTCGTATAAATATTAAGGACATTTTTTACCCTTAATACTTACACATCACTCATGAAGTTAAGGACATGATGTCCTAAAGTTTAACAACAGAAGGTACAAATACATGACACTTTGTCATGAGTATTTACACAACATTCATGAAGTTAAGGACATTCTATCCTTAATATTTACACTGCACACATGAAGTTAAGGACACCATGTCCTTAACATTTACAGTGCACATATGAAGTTAAGGGCATGATGTCCTAAAGTTTAACAACAGAAGGTACAAATACATGACACTTTGTCATGAGTATTTACACAACATTCATGAAGTTAAGGACATTCTATCCTTAATATTTACACTGCACACATGAAGTTAAGGACACCATGTCCTTAACATTTACAGTGCACATATGAAGTTAAGGGCATGATGTCCTAAAGTTTAACAATAGAAGATGCAAATACATGACACTTTGTCCTTAATATTTACATAACACTCATAAAGTTAAGGAAATCATGTCCGTAATATTTACACAGCACTCATGAAGTTAAGGACACCATATCTTTAACATTTACAA